AAGGTAAAAAAGCCTAAATAGCAAATGTCATTGCCCCCAAATGAAACAAGGTTCAGCTAACTTGGCAGTAAAGCATGCTGTCTGATTGTGTGGTCGACAGGCATAGACTATAAAGGTGTGTTGTTCTGCTGTTTATAATCCCTTGAAACAACTTATACCCATTTCAAGGTAAGGTTAATAGCGTTATTCCAAAAATATGTATATATACTGCACTGTCCATATAAGTGTATGTGTGTAGCAACTTACGACATAAAATACCTTCTCAAATATATTTATTTTTACTTCTCAATATCCTGAATATTCTACTACCACCTCCTATTTTTGTTCCCTTCCTAACAACCTTCTTTAGGAAACCTTTGAAGACATTCCTTTCCAGAGGCCTAAAGCTCTCTAATTCTCACCATTCAATTGTCAGTTTGTCATTTGATTTTACTCTACATGCAAGCTAATAAATTAATCTGTTACTGTTCCATGGATACTGAAGAAATACTACTCTTGGGTCAGAGACAGAGCTGTATTACCCACAGCAAATCAAGCAATGTGATCATCAGCATATTTGTATTGGTTCTCCTTGACCCCAGGTCCTACTGGGGCAGTGCAGAGGGCCTAGAGACTCTTGCATTTGCAGTGAGTTGTGTTACAAACAAAAGAACACGAAGCTTAGGGAATCCACCACTTTTATAGCAAGCAGTAAGCAAATCGGCTAAACTTGCTTTTGCTCCTGGAGAAAAACATTACCTCATTCCTCAGAGTTTCTCACCACAACCTTGAGAAATGACCAGGATAAACGGTGGTCATGCAGACTTTATACCCTTCACAGAAATTAACTCAAAAATGAATCACAGACCTAAATATAAAATGCAAAACTATAAAAATCCTAGAAGGTTACATTGGAGAAAACCTGGATAAATTATTAGCTTGCATATAGAGTAAAATCAAATGACAAACTGAGAATTGCATGGTGAGAATTAGAGAGCTTTAGGCCTCTGGAAAGGAATGTCTTCAAAGGTTTCCCAAAGAAGGTTGTTAGGAAGGGAACAAAAACAGGAGGTGGTAGTAGAATATTCGGGATATTGAGAACTAAAAAGCAATGACTTTTTAGATGCAACGTCAAAGGCGCAATTCATGAAAGAAATAATTGATAAGCTTCTGCTCTGTGAAAGACAATGTCAAGAGACTGAGACACCACAGACTGGGAGAAAATATTTGCAAAACACATATCTGAAAAAGGACTGTTATCTAAAATATACAAAGCCTTAAAATTCAAAAATAAGAAAATGAACAACCTGATTTAAAAACATGTCAAAGACCTTAACAGACACCTCGCCAAAGAGTATATACAGATGGCAAATAAGCATATGAAAAGATGCTCCACATGATTTGTCATTAGAGAAATGCAAATGAAAACAACAGTGAGATACCACTATACATCTATAGAATGGTCAAAATCTTGAACGCAGGTAACATTGAATGCTGGTGAGGATGTGGAGCAACAGGAACTCTTATTCATTGTCTAGGGGAATGCAAAATAGTACAGCCACTTTAGAAGTGAAGACAGTCACTTTGGAAAACAGTATGGCGGTTTCTTACAAAACTAAACATATTCTTACCATACAATCCAGCAATCATGCTCCTTGGTATTTACTCAAATGAGATGAAAACTATGTCCAATCAAAAATCTGCACATGGATGTTTATAGCAGCTGTCTTCATAATTGCCAAAACTTGAAAGCAACCAAGACATCCTTCAGTAGATGAGTGGATAAATAAACTGTGGTACATCCAGACAATGGAATATTACTCAGCACTAAAAAGAAATGAGCTGTTAACCTATGAAAAGATATGGAGGGAACTTAAATGCATATTATGAAGCAAAAGAAGTTAATCTGAAAAGCCTACATACTGTATGTTTCCAACTATGACATTCTGGAAAAGGGAAAACCATGGAGACAGTAAAAAGATCGGTGGTTGTCAGGGCCTGTGGAGGAAAGAGGGATGAATAGCCAGAGCACAGAGGATTTTTAGGGCAGTGAAAATACTGTGTGATACCATGAGATTCATGTCCAAACCCACAGAATGTACACCAAGAGTGAACCATAATGTACACTATGGACTTTGATCAATTATGATGTGTCAGTGTAGGTTCATCATTTGTAACAAACGTACCACTCTGGTGCTGGAGTTTTATAATGGGAGAGGCTATGCATGTGTGAGGGTAAGGATTACATGGGACATCTCTAAGTCTCAATTTTTAAAAAAATCAAGGCGGGGAGCGGGGGGAGATTTTTCAGGGCCTTATATTCTTAGGACACCTAGCAAGATGTATAGGAGAGTAAGAAGCCCAAGGAGGACTGGCTCTCACTACAGCAATCTATTATTTTGTTCCCCTATCTTGTGAGATGATTGTCTATTGTTCTTAAGTCACATTAAGATCCATATATAGTTTCTATAAGAAACTTTCCTTTCCCAAATTGGGCCAGCTTGTTGTTTAACGATCTCATCTAGGGCCTCTAAAAGAAGCACTTCCCCCACTGAGCTGGCCCAAAGGAAGTGGTGAAGTTATAATTGGATCTCAAAGCTGAAAAATATTTCTGCCCAAAGAAGGTAATAAATGATGTCAGATCATTCCACTCTCCCTCTACTGATTATCATTTTTTTAAAAAAGGGTCTGGGTGTATGTGTTGGGGTTTGAGAAGAAGATCCAGATGAGCCTAAACATTTGAAAAGAAAAGAAATCACGTACTAGTATGGGTAATATATAGCAGTTGTTTAATAGTTTCTGGATAGACAACTTATTTAAATCTCTATTCCTAAAATAGCCCCCTCACTGTTTATTTTTAAGAAAACCGCAATTAGACCTAACCCGAAAGAAGCTAGCAAACTTTACAATGACACACATGTAAAATCTGTTTCTCCTTCAATCTTCCTGACTTTTGTTATTCTATCAATTCCATGATCTCAGGCACCTTCTGTGTTGATTATGTCTTATGGTCAACCTAAACCTCCTCCTTTCTTACCTCAGCCACCCTATCCCCACCAAAACCAATACTCCATCATGATATAGCTCACTCTGCCCCATCTTTACTTGTAACCATAACTGTCACTAATTAAAACAATCTCATCATGATATCTCAGCAGTTAGAAAATCTTCTAGAACAAAGGGTACATCGTAGTCTCTAGGAGAGTATGTTAAAATGCAGATTCCTGGGCACCACTTCAAGAGGTTCTGATTTACTAGGTCTGAGGTGAGCCTTGAGAATGTGCATTTCCATAAAGCTCCCAGACTAGATGAAAAGTTGATGCTTCTGGTCCACAGACCTCATTTTGAGTAGCTGTTCTAGAACATCTGAGTAATAAGTAACCCCTCAGAGTGATGATTAAAAGGGCCTTTGGAGGTAGCTCACAAGAGCTTCCCAACTCCTGGGGTCCAATAAGGACAACAAATGATATCAAGACTGAATGTCCCTTCTCTTGGTGCCTAGATGATAACTCCTTTTTGCATCCTAGTACACACCTGGAGGGGAAGTAGGATGAGGGAAGTCAGAAGAACCCTGAATGTGACTGAGTCTTTAACACAAAAAAGACTAGCTCTAAACTAGAATTGACTGAATTAATGTATATTGACATGTTCAACTTTTCGCACATTATCCAAAACAGAGATAGTGAACTACTCTGAATTCAGTTATAATGTACAGTTACATCTTCAGCTGATCTGAGTGTAGTGAATGCAAATTATTCCATCTATTACATTAATTATTGTTATTTGTACAAATGGCATACCAGATATACCCAGTTATGCAAAATAACAATAATGGTCATCACTAAATTAGCACTAGGTTAACTCTGTTATGTTTTCTGTTTTCGTTCATTACAATATTAAACTTGTCCACATAGGTTCACTGTTTGTAGTTTGCTACTCAGATAGCATGGTTATCTGTATGAGACTTGAAAGGCAGAAAAAGTATTGCTTGGGGATCACCAAACAATTTAATACAGGCTATCTCTAGACCTGCCTTATCTACTATTAGTTCCTTTTGAAAGAAAGGTTTACTAATTCACTAAATAGTAGCTATTAAATGCAATCTAGTAAAGATAAAGAAACAGTACATGGTCAAAGGTTTGAACTGATCCAGTAACAAACTAGATGTAGTTTTAAAAACAATAGAAACAAAAGAAGTACATATTTTAGGTCAAGAAGTACAGACGTGTTCCAGCAACATCAGCTGTGAGGACTATAAGGATGAAAACATGAGGTCCCTGCCCTAAAGAAATTCAGGCTATGTCATATTTACTAGTGCTTCTTTATTTACTTGCCTACTTTACTCCTCAAAAACACTAGTCAGGCATAATTTATTTATTCATAAATCATTTTTTCCTTAAAAGAATATTATTTATGCTTTTGGTTTCAGAATACAATCGAATGGATTACTCCAGTCTAGGATAAAACTGAATCACTTGTACATTCTCAAATCTTTTTAGGTCTGCACTGCTTAATCCAGTAGCCACTAGTCCCATATGGCTATTTATTTTAAATTAATTACAATTAAATAAAATTAGAACATCAGCTCCTCAGTTGTACCAGCTATACTTCAAGTGGCTACCATACTGGGCAGCACAAATTTAGACCATGTCCATCACTGCAGAAGGTTCTACTGGACTGCATTTATTGGACAAGTCTTATATAGGGGGTCACACAGTGGCCACATATAAAAATAGGTTACAAATTTTGGCAAACAATTACCGTCTTCTTCAATACTCACGTGATGCCACCTAGCACTAGTAAGTTACTTACATCTTTTTTGTCAACATGGTCTACTCTAGCTTAAATACTAACTTCTATTGAATATGGTTTTAATTATAATGCAAGCCAAAATAATCACTTTTTTATGTCTTGTTAGTAACAGAATATATGACTGGGAATGCATAATAAAAGTACTTAAATAATAGTAATAACGCAATAAATCATCAATTCAACATGGGAAACATCTTTAAAAAACTTACCCTCCTTCACTTTCCGCTTCCTCTGAACTATTACTTGTTCTTGAACTTCGAACTGTGGCCAGCTTTCTTTTTCTAGCTCTGTGCTGAGGACTCATCTTATGAGCAGTTGTCTTCCCTCCAAGTTCACCATGTATATATTCCTCCAGTTTTGGAATGGCTTCTTTAAGAACTCTGATTTCTTCTTTGAGTTCTTCCATAGTCATCAGTAATTCATTTAACTTCTCCAATATCTGAAGTTGCCTTCCTTGAAAGATTGCTGCTGTTCCTTGGCCATTGTATGTTTCATTTTGCAAAGTCATCGAATCGAATGTATTTCCCAGAGAAAGAAATTTAGGTAAATTCACTGCTATCCTTGGTTTACGAACCTTGTGGTACCACAAAAGCAGTAAGCTGATTCCCGTAGTTCCCACCATAATGCCAAGTATCAGTTCTTTGTTTGTGGAATGAGGCATTTCTTGGTTTTTGTTTCTAAAATTAAAAAGCATAAATGTAAATGAATGTTCTTTCTATCTTTGTCCAAGACAAAAATGATAGAGTTTATCCAATCAACAAAAACCAATCTGTATCACACACACACAAAAAAGTACTTGGTAAAATAAATCATAAACTATGTTACCTTTATAATAATGCATGTGGCCTAGCAGAAAAATTTACTTTAAGGATATCACTTAAGTCCAGTGTAAAGTATCAACTTTAATTCGGAATTTGTATTCTATAGGACTGATCTGAAATTTACTCTTTACTGTAACTTTTTAAAGGGTATGATAGAGGTTAAAGCATCATTATAAATTTCTGAAAAAAACTATTTAAGAATTCGAATTATGCTTAACCGTCTGAACCTTTTGTCTAAAATTAACTTGTGTGCTGATTTCTGAGTCTTATCTAATCTTAAGAGAGGCCAGAAAAACATTCTTCCTTAGCACCTAGTTCACATTTGTACTGTAGAGTGATAAACGTTTTTAAGGTCCAGGGTTTTGAGATACAAAATATATTAGAGAGCTCTGGCAAGTTTGTAAAACACTCCATCTGTTTTTTTCAACATGGAAAGCAAAAATGCTAATATATATGCAGGCTTCATCTCCTTTCTTCCTCTGACCCAGAATTCTTCTGCTCCTTATATTTCTGCTGAGGTCTTAATGATTTCCTTTTCTTTCAAATTTTCACTTTTTAAAATAGTAAGAAAAAATAATTTCCTTGATTCCTTTCTCCTGAACTTTCACCTTTTTGTATTTCAGGCCCAAGCTTGGTGACCCACGTAATTCCATATAAATTCAGCTCCTTTGACTAAATGCACCATAATCTTTCTTTAGTATTTCCCATCTTCACTAGTTATATTGCTTATCTCTGTTCTTAAAGTAAGAAGACTCTTAAAGTAACATAATAATATGAAAGCCCCTTTCCTTCAGAGACTTTAAAGTGGCAATAAGTATAGCAGAACTATGGTGAACTTTTGTAATCACAGTACAATATAGAAAGACTTTTTTACAGACTTTAAAGTTCCCAAAATTGTTTTCCCATCAATTTCCCCTATTTTGTAAAAAGGTAACCACCTGTATTAAATTATGTTAGCAACTTGGGAGAAATGTTACAAATAGGGGTAAACTGTTCATTACAGGAAATTAAATTTGTAAATTTTTTGTTTTGTTTTTTCCTGACACTTTCTCAAGGAGCAGATTATTACAGCACTGCCACCTATGATCCCTGAGAAAAAGGAAACAAATTAGGTAAATCCTTTAATCTCTCCAAATTTACAACTGGAGGCAACGTCTGAACTATTGGCACAGGGAGGGGAAAACCAAACAGAGCCTGGTAGTCTGAGTTGAACAGAGATCAGAGTTCAGGGAAACTGAAGCACCTAGAATTTTTGTGGCACAGTACTGTAGATGAGGGAGGTATGCACAGAAAGAACTATTTGGAAACTCTATTTTACTACAGGTCTGAGTGTAAATGAAGACTAATGATTTTAAAATAATAATCTTTCAGAAATTGCCTCAGGTGTTGGTGAATACTATATCCAAGAGAATTAAGAATCCTTTCTTCTGAAGCCAAAGGTTCAAGTACAAAGCCTGTGTACTTAAACTGGCCTGTCTGACCTCAGGTTACAGTTTTCCTGGATTAATCTTTTTTAAGCAAAAAGTTTTTTTTTTTTTATACCTAGTTGGTATAACTGTGAATTATAAGAGTAACCATCTATCCACTCCCATCCATCCCGACTTGTCAGCTGTAAACTCAGATCAATTTGTAATTTCAGCTGAAGTTGTAGGTAATTATTAGTTGTTTACTTTTATTTCCATAAAAAAAACTATATCACGAAACTAAAATATTTTGAAAGAATATCGTGAAAAGGCAAGAAATACTAAGTAAAGCCATTATATGCTCATGACTTACATTTCCATCACATCTAATAATTATGCAACAAGCTTGATCATCTTGGCTCTTTTCTGTCAGTAAAAAGATTAATGCAGGATGTTCAAATGCTGATCTTGAGGTCTACTAAAAGAAATATTTCTATTTTGATTACTTTCTTGGCTCATACCTGCTGGGCCTTCCTTCGACTTTACAATTAAAAACAGCCTAGTTTGAAATTTTTTTCACTTAAGTAAATAAATAGAAGTCAAAATCTCCCCAAGATGGTACCAAGTTTAAACAGGTAAGACAGAGTATCAAATTTTGTTTCATCTTTTCTTAAGGAATTATACCATTCTCAAATTATCTTTGAGGCGGGTCCTACTATGATCCTTACTCTGTAGATAGCAAACTGAAGCACACAGATGCCAAGTCATTTACGTAGGTGTCATCCAACTAGGAAGTGAGAACTATCACCCTTGATAACTATTGGATGTACTGCTGTGTAAAGATTCAGAAACTATCATTGAGGACATGAAGGAGAATGCTGCCTGGGCAGAGATGTTCAGAGCTGAAATATGACTTTAGAACTATGAAAATCAACTGGGAAAAAACTAGAATCGATGGAGCAGGTATAGGTTTTAAATAGCAACAATTAGAGACTAATAGCTCAAGTTACGTTTGAGTTTTGTTATCACTAAAAAATGAATGTGCTTCTAAGCAAATAACTTGAAAAATGCCATTCATTAAATACTGATGTAGAAAATAAATTAGAACACTTGCTTGCCTGTAGTATAATTTCAAAGGTTGTATTACATCATTTATGTTTTATACATTTAATTACGAAATTAGTAATATATACTTGCACTATAGAATAAAAATTTATAGACTAGATAATATGATGCTAAATGTTATTCCTGTTAACAAGTTTCAATTTGCAAGGTGCTAATTTTAATATAAATTCTTGGCATCTAAAATTAATGTGTGATACATAAATTGTTATTCAGAGAAGAGAATCAAGAATTCTATTGAAATAGTCAAAATGTTGACGCTAAAGATATTTCTACATTAAAATTTCTTTGTAGAAACTATCATGAAAAATTAACTTCGGAAAACATTTTCATGTTCTAGTTTAAATTTTGATAAAAATCATGCTTTACTAAGTAAAATTATAATGCTTTCACCAATACCTAGCATATATATTCACTTAATTCATCGGCAGATTCTTAGGGAGAAATAAGTATATAACTGATAGACTCGGGTAATTTATGAAAAGTTTTGCAAGAGGGGTAAAGGAACGTTATGGATTAGACAAGCCTGAGGATTAAGCCTCTCAAAGGAATCGCTCTAAGGCCTTGAGTTTGTGATCAGATTCCCCACAGCAACCTGGATAACCTGATACTTGTAAGTGAATTCCAATACTCATATCTCATCAGGTTTTATTTTTCCTATTTGATAATATTTTAAATTTAGGGCTCTCTGATGTTTGGCTTATTTGCAAATGTTTGTCGCACTGAAAATCTGGCCTTCGTTTTGTGTAAAATAGGTAGAGAATCCAAGTTTGTTTCGAGCAAAGCAAAACAAAAACGTTTGCTGGAGGCTGAAAGGTTAAGACCCAGGGAGCCGAAGTGAGAAGTGAGCAAGTGTCTCCGACAAAAACTCATCGGGGTTTGCAGGGACCTGCCGGGCCGAGGCAGCACCCTGCCCACTCTCCACGCACCCCACGACCCGCGGGGCTGTAGCTTCCGAGGCGCCAGCTCGGCGAGGGCTGTGCCCCGGAAAGCGGCGGGTAATAATGCCGCTCCGCTGCCAGGAAAACCAGCAGCAGCGCCGGCAGGCTGGAGGATGCCCTGCAGGGGCGCGGCAGGGCAGCACTTCCACGCGACCCGGAAGTGCAGTGGCCGCCACCGGAAGTGCTGCCTCAGCGTTCTGCACGTCCCTGGCTGCGTCCAGCCCGGGCCTGCCGAGCCGCCGTTTGTCCTCCGCACGCACCTGTGTTGGTCGCAGAGGCTTCTCTGCCGTGGGAGACTGGGGACCGAGGACCTGGAACCTGCGGGCAGAGCGTGTGGGAGTGAAGCGGCGAGCCGACCTTAGTTCCGGAGCTTCCGGGTCCCGAGGCCCGGCGCCGGGGCGTCCTGACCCAAATCGCGGAGGCGCCGCAGGGAGGAGCCCGCGGCCGTTCTCCCCGCGGCCGCTCACCCCGCGGGTCCCGCCTCTTCACGCTGGCTGTTAACTCACCTGGGGCAGATGCCCAGCGCACCTTTGGCAAAAGAAGAAAACTGCGCTCCGCCGGGCCGCTCGGCTTGCATCGGACATTGTTGCCCGGATGCCGCCTCCCCTCGAAGCCCGTCCTCCTTCCCCGCGCCCTGGTTCAGGGCCACCAGCGTCTGTCCCCGCTTGAGGCTTGGCGCGACCTTCCACCTCCCAGCGCGTTCCGTCACTGCCGCTCCCCAAACCTATCCCCATCCAGGTTCTTTCATGCTCCCAAACCCACCTCCCCTCCCCTCGTATTATCATCCTTTTTTCGCGCCCCTTTCTAGGGTACAACCGCGAATCTCCCTCTGCATGACAGTGTCAAACGCTGATGGCTTGAACCAATTAGTCATCTTGTCCACAGCCACGTTTTTTTAAACTTCACTTTAACGGATGTTCCTTTTTAATGAGCACAATCCCCATCTTTTTCGTTCCCCCACCACTCTTAAGTTGTCTGGATGAAAACCACAATCTCCTCAAATGCTTAACATTTTACTATGGTTTGTATAATGAAAATAAAATTCCGCCAAATAAACTCGTTTAACAACTGCACACTCTCACTTTGAGCTTTAAATTTAGGCTTGCAGAGAACTTGGTCTTGATTACTAAATTCCTCCCCAATGTACTGAATGAACTAAAAATGGGTACACTATCAAAAAATATTTTAAAAATCATACAACGCTCTTTACTGGTGGGGATTATATAAGACTATAAGATAGTTTTTGAGCTTTAAGCAAGCTGCATTCAAGAATAAGCCTAGCCGTACTCTTAAAACTAAGTTATATCTTGGAAGACGTCAGACTTTAAGATTTGAAACTACTAAAGCATTTTCTTCTAAGAAGCACTTTCATATTATGTTGTGCAAAGATATTACAATATAATGTTAATATATTTGCTTTATTTGGCCAGAATACAATATAATGTAAACCTGTTATGCAAGGCTTAACAAGATTGTGTTACTGAAGAAACTTTACTCTCTTCAATACTACTGAAAAGAAGCTTAAAGCACCAGAAGGAGCCCACTGAGGTTCACTGCTGCATGCCCAGCATTAGCACAGAGAAGTCTTCAACAAAAATAACGGGTCTGGGCTGAGAACAGGGCCTTATGAACTCTATGCTCCAAGATGAAGATGGCACCTGGTACTGACTTGTTCTTCAAGTTCAGAAAGTAGGGTAAAATAGCTGGACTCTTCCTGTATTCCTATGTAACACCTGTTCTCTGCTTGCCCTCCAACAACTTTGATTCCATTCCTTGATCGGTAGAAATTATCTGAGAAGTAGAAACTCAGTGGTAGCCATTATCTCTGGGTAAAGTTAAAAGTAAATATCAGAGAAGTGCTATTTTTGCCAGGCGCCGTGGTAGGGATGATAAAAAGGAGTGTACAGTCTTAAAGGAACTTCAGAAAGGAGGAGGGGAAGGAGCAGGAGAAATTCCAAAAGTTGCTGTCAGTCATGGACTGAATCTTTGAATTCTCTCAAAATTCATGTTTAAGTCCTAATCCCTGATATGATGGTATTTGGAGGTGGGGCCTTTGGGAAATAATTAGGTCATGAGTTTGGAGCCCTCATGAATGGGATTACTGTAATGCCCTTAGAATGGTAAGATACCAGAGCTCGCTCTCCTTCCACCATGTGAGGACATAATAAGCCAGCCGTCTGCAACTCAGAAGAGGATCCTCACCAGAGCCTAACCATAATGTCACTATGATCTCAGACTTCTAGCATCTAGAATTGTGAAAAGTAAATGTTTGTTGTTTAAGCCACTCAGTCTATGGTAATTTGTTATAGCAGCCCAAACTGAGATACCAATTCATCACAACTAGCACAGCATTTACAACCGTCTGGTACTAGTGGCTTATCGGCCCATCACAAGTTGTTCCCATCTATTTTTCCAGCTTTTCCCTACCATTCCACCAGGCATCATCCTATACTTCAGCTATAGCCAGACTACCCTATCATCTTTCCATAAGCCATCTATTTTCTAACCTCTGTGTCCTTTTCAGGTGGCTCTCTGTGTCTGGAATACCTTGCTTTTTGCCACCCGTCAAAACCAATTCATCCAGTCTAGGTAGCTTTCCTTGAGAAGCTACTCTCCACATTCTCCTCCTCAAAGGAAGGATTCATCCATGCCATCAAAACTTTTGTGGAAGGATAAAGAGTTTAAACAAATATAAAACCCTTCTCTCTGTCAAATGCACTGTATTATTACTACTTGGTCAGTGAGTATTATATCCATGAGACAGTGAACACCTTCGAGGCAAGGATGTATTTATCTTTGTATCCCCAGTCCCCGGCACAGTATACACACTCTATATTAAATAGAAACATTTCTCTGAAAGTTATATGTACACTCAAGATAAAAGCATTAAATAAATTTGAACTTCTTCATATAATAAAGGTTTGTGGAGATTTTTTCCCCTTGGGTTTTTATCTGAGTGGTTTTATTTCCAGGAAGCATTTGAATGACAAAGTTGGTTTTAGCCCTATAACAGTTTACCAAAATACTCTATAGTTAACTATTCTTATAGTTCCTTGTTGTGTAATTACTTCCAAACCCTTTTATCACCCATCAATTTAGCCAATAGACTATTAAAGGAAATCAGACCATTTAATTAGAAGGCAATCAAGAATTTTGCTTCCATTTCCTTGAGAAGATATACTCTTGTTTTTGTTCTAGACATTTGATCTGGATTTTACTTTAAAGCTCAAGAATTGATGATAGTCAGATATTAACATTTACATTACATTACATTACATTACATTACATTACATTTTTGCTCTTCAAATTTTCTAATTTACAACCTGGATTTCTTTATTTATAAACTGAGAGCTGGCCTGTAAATATAATCAGTGACACCATGTCATCCTTAACTCCCACCTCAAAACAGCAAAGTATACCTTCTTTTCCAGATGAGGTTAAGAAAGTATTTTACTGCTAAATAACTGAAGAAATAATTTTAAAATTAAAAACCCATTAACCATTAAGAGAGCAAGAAAGAGCCAGGAAGAGATCCGAGTCTGCCTGTACAAAGAGTGAGTGAAGGAGCGAATCAGGCATAACTGAAGCTGCAAGTTCTGTGAACTGGATGGAGAGTGAACAACAATGGCCATAGCAAAACCATGATTAAGTCTTATATTCAGTTCCTGCTTCATCCTTTTTTTAAAATTTATTTTTTAATTTTTATTTTTCAATTACAGTTAGATTTGTTTCAGGTGTACAGTGTAGTGGTTAGACATTTATGTAACTTATGAAGTGATCCTCCCAATAAGTCTAATGCCTACCCCCTCGGCCCACAGCACCATACATAGTTATTACAACATTATCGACTATGTTCCCTATGCCGTACTTCACATCCCTGTGACTCCCTTGTAATTGCCAGTTTGTACTTCTTAATCCCTTCGCCTTTTTCACCCTGCCCCCAAATCCCCCTCCTAATTCATTCTTTACATGAATAATATTATTCCATTTTTCCAACAATCCACTGAGGGAAAAAAAGTTAAGGTGAGGAAACCAGGACTTGGAGAGGTAAAGAAACTTGTCCCAGGCCACACAGTTTTAGAGGCAAATCAAATCTAGCCTTCCCTCTTAACCACTCCCTGTGAGCCAAACGGCCTGTGATAGCACATTGAAGGTAACTCTTCATAGTACCTTTCATAAGCTCATCATAGCACTTCCCACATGATAGTGTTCTGGCTGCATCTCCCACTTCAGTTATTTGGGGTTTGGCTTTCACTGCTCCTCTTACGGGAGGGACTGAATGCCCAGATGGAAGTGTTTGCCTCACAGAGGACTTACCTGCAGGGGTTTACCATTATCTCTAAGCCATAGAGTATAAAATTAATTTGGGTCTACCTTATTCAGATTAAGCTAGGAATACAGTTGGGGAAAAGAGTAAAAATAATATCGTGTCTAATATAAACAGTTTTTTGTTTTGTTTTTAATTTTCCCTAGGACATAAGAAAATTACTCCCAGAATTTATGAAAAATAACTGTGACTGAATTGGACCTTCCAAAGCAATAATGCTTCCTTTGAACAATACTAAATGATTAGTGTAATAAATCATTAATCATTTAAATACAAGAAAATACTTGACCCAATATACTTGTCCTGAATGAATCAGAAACAATATTTTAGAAAGATAGTCATGAAAGAAAAGTTAGCAACAATATTTATATAATGCTACTTAGCAATTCAATGTTGAATCAATTTATTAAAAACATAACTGCCTAATTAGAATACAGAATTCTTATTAGAAACTTTTGTTAGAAAAATTAAGTCTTTGTTTAATGAAGAAATAGTCATTTTCAGAAAGGCATATACCTTGCCTAATTGATACTAACCTTGCTCAGTGGTTATCAGCAGCTTTTCCTGTAACACTTCAAAATAGGAATGAAGTTTCTTCAGAAATAGCAGGAGATTTTATAAATCACATTCTTACGCCGATTTTCTGTAATCAGCCTGTTCAAAGTGCAGCCTTGAATACACTCTACGATGGAACTCAAGAGATTCAGAGCAAAGAGTAATTTTGCCCCTCCCTTTTGCATTCTTTCTTCATCCCGAGAGAAAATGTTCAGGGACATCCTTGACCATATATGTGTCAACTTCACAAATCAAGGTCATTTTCATTGTAGCAGGTTAAAAATAAAGTTGAATGTTCATCAATTAGATAAAATATTTTTACAATATGCACAAATTAGTTAAAATGACTGAATTGTTTTAATTATATATAATAAGTCAAAGAAAAGATTTTATTTTGGATTTGGGTAATAAGTTAATTTTGTGCAAGGTTCTGCTGGGGAAAATCTGGGTTAGCAGTTTTCCAGACCCACTGTTCTCATACTGTACAAAGAAGTTATTTTCTCTTTAGAAGCATATTTCTTTTAAGAAATTATTCAGTAGATAGAGACAGCCTCTTTCTTGGTATGCAAATCAATCTACTCTGCTGCTGCAACAGAGACACGTTAATTAATCAACCATTGTTAAAACATTTTTTATTTTATAAAAATTACATTCCTATTTTCATAATTAAGACGCATATAAGACTCTTATTCGGAAAAGTGAATCTACAAAAAGATAAAAATTGAAATTCACCATTGTAATGATTTTAGAAGAAAACTTGCCTCGTAAAGCAGGCGACCAAACCATTTGTATTGTGATCCAAATAACTGTAGTTTGATGGTTTAAAACTGGGAATGTATCTTACCATGAAAATCATGTTATAAATTGTGGTTTGTTTCCTAAGTAATCCCATCAAATTCTTCATAATCCATATGATAACATGCCATATGGTTGTCAGATGAATTCTAACTCAGAACTGCTTGTGTCAGGAAATCATTTGTCTGTTGCTATGGTTTTGGCTGCATCTATTTAAAAAAAGGAAAATAAAAAGAACTTGCCCCTGCCAGCTGCAGCAACTAATAAATGTCCAATGAAAAGAGAGACCCCACCCTCCAGCGATGGAATCTGCTTATGAGTTAATGCAAGAGAATTTCTACCACCAACTACACCCTCTGTCAGGTTTCTAGCAAGAAAAGAACTACCCATTCAGCCACAGGGCTCTTTGACTTTCTCACATGAAGCAAAACAACTCTTCCAATGCTCCTTAAAAAAAAGAGACAATTCCAACAGCAATATTATTTACTCTTTCTCTTTTAGTAATGAAAAACTTCCC